AGTATCTCTAATGAGGCCTTGCTACTGAGCAGTTTTCTCGAATGCGTAATGCTAAATAAAAATAGTGAAACAGAAAAGAGGTTTATGTTCTCAGAAATAAGAGCAGTAATAGCACTACACCACTTTAGCTTATCCTTGCAAAATAAAAGAAAGAATCAAATCCTTATCAATCAACAGATATAGGTTTTAAAACTTACCCATATACCCTTACGAGATTTTCAGAATCTGATGAAATGCTTCTTGTGGTATATCAACAGATCCAACGCGCTTCATGCGTTTCTTTCCTTCCTTCTGCTTCTCTAAAAGTTTTTTCTTTCTAGTAACATCCCCCCCATAACATTTTGCCAGGACATTTTTTCTCATTGCTGAAATACTGACAAGGAAAAAATAATAATTTGATGAATAATGAAACTGAACATGATACAATAAATGAGAATATAAGGAAATAACTAAGATAGGCAGTGGTTTTTAAGGGACAAGAAATACATTGTTACCTACTTCCTTAAACAACAGTTCGTAATTTTCGTGCTTAGATGAGTTTAAACTGCACATCCAATAGGTAAACCATGGCGTCACTATTATGGGTTTCATGGCACTATACTATTTTACCAAGTGATATCTTGAGAGGGAAGTTGCAACCAACAAATAGAAGGTTGCCTACCAGAGAATAAATTATATTAAACCTTTCTTGAAGCTAAATCAACTCAAATCTAACTCCAATCTGATGATCATGACAAATATCGTATTCTGAAATTGGAGAAGGTGTTGGTGACTCAATCTCCATGTGATTCTAATCCACTGGGTTTGAGACTTAAATCATACTTTTCCTATGTGATTCTTTTATTGTCTGCAACCTAAAGATTACATCCTTTACATACAGTTTCATGCCCTTTTGACTTGGTTAGCCAGTAATGTGTGTAAATAATTACGAATCAAATTGGCACATAAATTTACGACTTCACCAAAGTAGCTAAAGTCCAAGTTCATCCTATCATAGTGATGTAAAAAGCTGTAGTTGTGCTAATGCACCCATTTAGCAATGTCAACTTGCATTATTACTTGATAACAATAAACTAAGAAACAAATACATATGTAAGGTAAACACAGTCTCAGCAAGAATTTATTTCAACAGAGGATTACTAATTACTTCAGCTAGCAAGTTGAAACTGAGCACAAGGTTGTGGCACCTGCCAAAATGAGTAAGAAGATTTTTGTCTCAGCAATAAAAGGAATTCCCGTGGTATCCTTGAGTATTGACATTAATGCTAGCGCTAAGGCCCTTTTTCATTAAAAAGGAATGGTGATTTTATAGAGTACTAATTGCTGGTTTTACAAACTTTGTTATACTACTTTGTGGTTAGAACTATAACTTCTGCGATGAAAACAAATAAATTCAGGCATTCAAAAGAATTTTGCTGGAATAGCAAGAGAAGATGTCAAAGGTCATCCCAGTCCCCATTATGCCCTTTTGACTTGGTTAGCCAGTAATGTGTGTAAATAATTACAAATCAAATTGGCACATAAATGTACGACTTCACCAAAGTAGCTAAAGTCCAAGTTCATCCTATCATAGTGATGTAAAAATCTTTAGTTGTGCTAGTGCACCCATATACCAATGTCAATTTGCATTATTACTTGATAACAATAAACTAAGAAACAAATACATATGTAAGGTAAACACAGTCTCAGCAAGAATTTATTTCAACAGAGGATTACTATTTACTTCAGCTAGCAGGTTGAAACTGAACGCAAGGTTGTGGCACCTGCCAACATGAGTATGAAGATTTTTGTCTCAGCAATAAAAGGAATTCCCTTGGTATCCTTGAGTATTGACATTAATGCTAGCGCTAGGGCCCTTTTTCATTAAAAAGGAATGGTGATTTTATCGAGTACTAGTAATTGTTGGTTTTACAAACTTTGTTATACTACTTTGTGGTTAGAACTATAATTTCTGCGATGAAAACCAAGGTTTTAAATGTTGGCCGACATGTCGGTTTGAGGGCTTGAGCGACACGACATGAGCGTTTTTAACTCGTATGTCGATTTTCAGGGCCAAATCGGAAATATCGGGGTCATATCGGGCATATCAGCCGATTTTCCAGCCTTGAAAAATCGGCCAATATGACCCCTTTTTTAAATCTGTTTTTTGTTATCGGGTTTGAGTTTAGTGATAAAAACCCAAACCTGTTTGACCCGTTCTCATATTTAAGGGTTTCTTATAAACCCGATAGAAAGAAAAAAAAATTAGGGCTACAACGAACTTGGGAACCGATCACTCCTTTTGTGAACGACGACGACCTTCCCCCACCTCCATCTCAGACCCCCATCGTTCATCTCCCGTTGCGCCCCAAAATCTGAACCCCAACCGAACCCGAGGGCGGCAAGGTGATCGGTGACTCATCCGAAGGACCCCGAACATACGAAGAATAAGAGCACCAACACTGCCTCCCTGCGAGGAATCCACCCATCGCAGGCGCTGCCTCTAGAATTTATAAAGTATGCTTATATTGAATTTAGGAATGCTTAAATTACATTTAGGACATGATATTATACATATGTGCACCACCCGATATGGCAATCCGATATTTAGTCTATGTCCCCCGATATATCCCCGATTTTCGCTATCCGACATGGATTTCAGCCGTCCGACATGAACCCAACATCCAACATTTAAAACCTTGACGAAAACAAATAAATTCAAGCATTCAAAAGAATTATGCTGGGATTAACGAGAGAAGATGTCAAAGGTCATTCTAGTCCCCATTATGCTACAAAATGTAGGACATTTTACTTTAGGTGCTACAATATTTTGGAAGTTTGATTTTTGGACTTGACATATAGACTCCATGTCATGCTACAACTTAGTAAAGAATACCATTTCGGGATGAGCAACCTAATCGCTTAAATTTCCTTGCTTATGTTAAATAAATATGTTGAAAATATGCACATATTGCTCTTTAAATTTCAGCTTTTGGGTTTCCTAGCTGTTTTCTAGCACAGTGTGGTTAAGCATATTATCTGTCACTCAGTTCATTTAAATCCTACTAATGTGTAATCGGACATGTAGAATTATTTACCAAAAGTTCAATGGGCGATAAGTAGGCCTATCTGCATTAGTTCTATATGTATAAACATGCATTAGCAGTTCTTGAATAGCTCTATGAGAAACACAAATATGCATGGGAAAAAGCGTGGTAGGTCTCCATAAGATAAATATTTCACTAAACCCAGGAAAGTAGTTGTTGTATGGGTTGCATACCTCTCCCTTGCAATAACCTTCGAACCAATTGCAGCTTGTATCGTTATCTCAAACATTTGCCTATCAATTCATATCAAAATGAGTAATAAAAAAACAAAATGATTACTGAAAGTATATGTGAGATCTGAACTAAAAGCTGAGAATACCTGTCTATGAACTCTTTTAGCTTTTCAACCAACTGGCGTCCAATCCTTTGTGCGTTCAAATTGTGGACAATAGATGCCAATGCATCAACGGGTTGGCCGTTGAGGAGGACATCAAGTTTCACCAAATCTGATTTTTGATACCTGCAAGCACACCGTCGCCATAAAATAACTTCCATTAAGCCTGCACAAAACCTAAAAGAATACAAGAATCAGAAAAGGCATAATCCACTACAAAGAAAAGTAACCTAGGGTGACTTGAGGCACGAAACATGGTCCCTGTAGGGGAAAAAGGTTCCAAATGGCAGTGTTATAAGGAATCAGAAAATAATGTGCCTTAGAAGTACACACAACCTACTCGAGCGCCAACCATGCCAACTCTTGGATACCAAGGTTACATCCTCATAGCCAAGCTATTTCAGAAGCATCTCCAACACATTCCAGTGTTTCGGAGGTCTTCTACTCTTTCATTTTGTCCTTTTATGCAATCAGATGATTTCTTCTTATAAATATTTTTTCTACAAAACATTAGCAATCCTGAATTCTCAGATTTTATGAACCAGTAGCCTTCCTGTTCTTCTGTTTCAGCTGCTCTCAATCTTATGTTTTCCTCATAAATTTACATATTCCCCTCCCTCTTTATCATCTACAGTAGAAAGTGGAATTCCACTTATTGTAGGTATTTGTGCCTCTTACACACCTAATCTCGGCCATATGTGCTTCCCTCTGTCAACTGCTGGTCAATTCTCAGGGACCTACATTTTGGATGGTGAAAGATCAAACTTAAGACCTAGAAGGAACCGATTCCTTGGCCGTCTCTATCCCGGAGTTCTTTTCTCCTATTAGAAACTAGAAATATAGTATTTAGATCCACCTCCATGGATCATGACCACTCCATAAGTACAATATTGCTTAGCAGATAGCATACAGCTATTTTCTAAGATATCCTATCTTCATAATCTACTTATATATGACCAGATCTAAGGCTGATCAGTTAGTCAGACAATTAAGAGCAAGTTAAAAGCGAGTTTTGAAGCATCAGTTGTTATCAGTATACATTGGCCATATCATGCTGGATTCCAAGCATAGACTTGACCATCCAAAAGTCGTCTTATATGACGATACCATCGATTATCCGCAATAACAACTTCTATATAAGGATATAAAGGGGTTGGGTTAACCCAAACTCAACTCGTGTAAAAAAATGGGGCTGGGTTGGACATGGGTTGAGAAGCTTGGGTTGGATTTTTTTTAATGGATTGGGTTAAGCTAACTTTTGGGGGTAGTTAGTTAAATACCTCAAATGCTATTACAATCAAGGTTTTGAATAGCGGATGTCGGGTTCATGTCGGATGACTGAAATCCATATCGGATAGCGGAAATCGGGGATATATCGAGGGACATTGACTAAATATCGGATTGCTATATCGGGTAGTGTGCATATGTATAATATCATGTCCTAAATATAATCTAAGCATTCATAAATTCAATATAAGCATACTTTATAAATTCTATAGACTAAACATATAAAAAAGTAAATAATATATGGATTTGGGTTCATAAATTCTTTCTATCGGGTTCATAAGGAACCCTTAAACATGAGAACGAGTCAAACGGGTTTGGGTATTTATCACTAAACTCAAATCCGATAACAAAAAACAGATCTTAAATAAAAGTACCATATCGGTCGATTTTTCAAAGCTAAAAAATAGGCCGATATGCCCAATATGACCCTGGTATTTCCAATTTGGCCCTGAAAACCGATATACGAGTTGAAAACGTCCATGTCGTGTCGGTCAAGCCCTCAAACCGACATGTCGGGCATGTCGGCCGATATTTAAAACCTTGATTACAATATCATACAATCGTATACGTTAGTACTTTGATTCAACCAAAGCCCTCTTTGTCCATCTTCCCACGTTCACCTCTCTTCTTCCAAAGTAAAAAAATGAATCGTCAGGTAGATGAATTAAGATATTTATATGTTATGTAAGTAATGAAAGTTAAATTGTTTTCTAAGATTTGTGGTATTTGTATTAGTAATATTTTGATAAAAACCCTTAATTGTTTTAGGCAATTTTGTACCTACAATTGTATTGTTTAAATTGTTGAATGTTTGCAATTTGCTTAAAGAGTTCTTGAATTTCAAGATAGTTATGACAAATCTAACCAACCAACCTGATCTGAACATGCTGGAAGCATGTGGGAAATTTCAGGTTAATTTTAGGTCGGATTGGGTTTTGTTTGTTAGCTATGAAGCAATGTTTTAAATATCGACTGACATGTCAGCTGATATATCGGATTGAGGGGTCGAGCAACACGAATCGGTCTATTTTGAGTTGTATATCAGTTTTTAGGAGGAAATCGGAGATATCGGGGAAATATCGGTCATGTCGGTTGATTTTTCACCTTTAAAAAATCGGCCGAAATCCCCAGATTTCGGTTTAAAGCTTCGTTGGCTTATTGGGTTTGGGTTTTGTCACTTTGTGACGAAAACCCATACCCATTCGACCTGTGTTGAACTTGAGGGACTTTTTGCGAACCCAAACCCAGTACTCGATAGAAAGAAAGAAAAAAGCAAAAAGCTAGAGCTACAGGACAGCGACTGGAAACTTGGGAAGAGAACAGCCGCCTTCATTTTCTTCGTCTCTCACTCGCCGACGCTGTCGCCTTTGACCTGTGTTGAACCTGAGGCTTCGGCCGCCTTCAACAACCTTCGAAGTTCTTGCTTCAGCCACCTTTGACTGCCTTCAAAGTTCTTGCTTCCTGAGGCTTCAGCCGTCAGGTATGTCAGAAAAGTTCTTGCTTCGAAGTTCCGACATCAAGATTTCTTTTTCTCGTCTGATTCTCTCTCTCTCTCTCTCTCTCTTTGGGGTTCCGGCATCGTTTCTCTTCTATTTCTTGATGTTTATTATTGCCATCAAGATTTTACTGTTGATTTCATCTTGTTTATCTTATTCACTGTTTCCCCTTGTTTTTACTATTTTTTGGTTACATCACATATTCAAATAGCTTCATGCTTTTTGTTGTTGTAAAGTATTCATTTATAAAATTCAATGTTTGTCAATAGAGGGAAACAGTGAATAATCACAGAGGGAAGAAAATTCTAGTTTTATCTGTTTGGAGGTGGTGATTCTTTACTTTTTGATGATTACATTAATCCTAATTATACTCTAGATGATTACGAGTTGTATAGTGATCGAACTCTGTGGATAAATTTTTTTCTGTTTGCACTTTGTAGATTCAGTTTGCACTTTGCAGATTCAGTTTGTGTGACTGCTGAGTGGTGTCTGCTAAGTAAGATGACTTGTTTCTCAAAATCAGGTAAGCCTCCCTCTTGAATCTTTTCCCCTGTAAAAAAAAATTAATTTTTTGTTAGTAATTGAATTACAAATATGCTGTCGAAATCCATATTTGTTGTCTTGTTATTTATTGTAGAATCATGTCGTCTGAAGGACAAGGATCTACTAGACCATCAATAACATCAAAACAGGACGGTAAAGATCCATGTTGGCAATATGGGGAGAGAGTTGGTTCCGATACAAGTAAAATTAAATGCAAATATTACACTCAAATTCTCAATGGCGGGATTAGCCTATTCAAACAACACTTAGCCGGAAAGAGGGGAAATTGCGCGCCGTGTGTGAAAGTACCCGATGATGTGAAGGCGAAAGTTTCTGAAATTTTAGACAATGCAAAGAAGAGTAAGGATGAGAAGGAGATGATAATGCATAATTTGTTGAGGGAGGTGCATATTGGGGAGGATGAGGAGGAGCATAACTCCATCTCATTAAGCAGTCAAAGAAGCTCATCATCCTCCCACAAGGTGATTGGACCAATGAACTCCTTCGCCGCTCATTCTCCCGAAGAGATTGCCCAAATAGTAGAAAAAGGAAAACAACCAATGATGGACAGCGATGCTTCCCTCTTTCCATTTCATACCGTCACGCTTCCCTATTTCCATCAAAGGCTACAAGCTATTGGCTTGTTTGGAAGTAATTTGTAAGCTCCATCCATGTATGAACTGAGTGAGACATGTTTGCAAAAAGAAGTTGAAGAGACAAAAGAAATTGTTAAAAATTTTAAAAGGACTTGTGTTGTCAATAGTTGCTCGTTAATGACCGATGCATGGAGTGATTAGAAGTCTAGAAGCATCATGAACATAGTTGCACATTCTGCTGGGATAGCTTGTTTTTTGCCATCACATGATGCATCGGCCGATAAGCACGATGCTAAGTATATCTGTGATTTTGTAGACAATGCTATTGATCAGATAGGGGAGGCAAATGTGATACAGATAGTCACTGATGGAGCTTCAAACAATATGACGGCTTCTAAGTTGTTGATTGAGAATAGGCCAAATATATTTTGGACTACTTGAGTACTTGTGCTGCACACACAATGAACTTGATGTTGTGTGATATAGCTAAGCTAAAACTCATTCGTAATGCCATTTTAATGGGGAGGAGTGTATCAGTGTTCATATATAATCACACTAAACCTCTTCAATTATTTAGGGAGTTCACTATGGGTGATCTTGTGAGACCTGAAGTTACGAGGTTTGCTATGACGTTCCTTTCTCTACAGTCATTAAGAGATCATAAGAAAGAGATGAGGCAAATGTTTATCTCTTACCAATGGACAGATTGTAGCCTTTCAAGAACATCAGTGGGCAAAAATGTATATTTTCAATTAAATTTTTTAATTGCATTCATTTTATTCATTTGACCATTTATATTTCATTGATTGGATTTATTTGTATGTTTGTAGGTTGCGGAGATAATTGCTAGCAATAAGTTTTGGGATAATATAGACTTTACTCTCAAAGTATTCACCCCTCTAGTGAAGATTCTTCGAAGAGCGGATGGTGATAAAATCGGTTCGATGAGATTTATATATAGGGACATGTTGGTGGCTATGTAAGAGTTGAAAGTGGCCTTTGGGAATGATGAGAAGTACAATCCCATTTTGTCCATGATTGAGCCGAGATTAAGAAGAATCTTTGTGAAACGCTACATAAAACGGGTTACTTTTTTAATCTTTTTTACTATTACCCGGCTAACACGGACATTGAAGGTGACGGAAGCTTCATGAATGCTATAGTCAAGTGTGTATAGATTCTTTCCCGATGACCATGCGACTTTCACTTTGTAGATCAAATACCTAATTATCAAGAACACCTAGGGTCATTTGGGGATCAATTTGCGAGACGAAGTGCTACTGGTGATTGTCCGGGTAAATTTATGTTCTCATTCAAATTAATTCATTGACCTCTTTTTTGAATTTATAAGTTACTAAATTTTTTCAATTATGAATTGACTAGTTACTTGGTGGAGGCTTTATGGAAACGATACTCCCGAGTTAAAGAAGATGGCAATGAAGATTTTGGGCTTGACAACTAGTTCTTTGGCTTGTGAAAGAAATTGGAGTACATTTGAGATGGTAATATTATTTCTTAAATTTTAATCATCTTCTAGGCTTGTATTGTAGTATTTGATGATTAGTTTTTTATGCTAATTCATGATTTTCTTTTGTAGATTCATACGAAGAAGAGGAATAGACTAACTCATAAAAAACTTTAATGACTTAGTCTTTGTCAAGTTCAATGCAAAGTTGAAGAACAAGCATACCGTCCTAAATAGATATCCTTTATCTGCCTACGATGATGAGAAAAGAGTCACCGAATGGTTGTCGGGTGAGGAGGAGAATAATAGTGATGATGAAGTATTTCCAGGAGTGTTCAACTTTTAGGCAAGTTGGAGATATTTCGGGAGCTAAACCAAGGAAGAGAAAGAGTGGAAGGTTACAAATGTATAAAAGAAAGAAGAAATCAGGATCAACTTCATCGAAAGGAAAAGAGCCGATATAATAATTGATAGTGAATGTCAATGTTAAAGATACTAGAGCCTAAGATGTTTGACTATTTTTAAATTGTTTAATTATAATAATTGATAAAAATATGTATTAAATTCATATAATTTTTTAAAAAAAGATAGCAATCTTAGTTCCACAATAAATCATGCATACTTAGATACTAAATAGCCAAAATAATAATTAACAATACTAGAGCCTAAGATGTTTTCTTTTTTTATTTTTAATTACAATAATTGATAGTGAATGTCAATGTTATAGAAAGCTTAGATGCCAGACTGATGTCTAGACGGATTTCTTTCTTCATTTAAGTGGTGATCGATGAGGTTTTGCTGAAGGTCGGAGGAGGTAGTGGAGGTTCATATTTGGAGGTTAATGGAGTTTGGAGAACGTGTAGGTTATAACACATAAAATCACAACCAATGCCTGCAGGGTGCAATCCACGTAAACAGACAATGCTCTCCTAAACGTTCGTAAAATCTAGATGGACAGCCTAAATACGGCCTAGACGCTAGTTAGGCGGCCTAGATACCACCTAGGCCTAGGCGTACGTCTAAGCGGACTAGACAGGTTTTTTAAAACAGTGCCCGATATATCCTCGATTTTCGCTATCCGACATGGATTTCAGTCGTCCGACATGAACTCGACATCCGATATTTAAAATCTTGCCATGAAATATGCTTATATTGAATTTAGGAATGCTTAGATTACATTTAGGACATGATATTATACATATGCGCATCACCCGATATGACAATCCGATATTTAGTCTATATCCACCGATATATCCCCGATTTTCGTTATCTGACATGATTTCAGTCGTCCGACATGAACCCGACATCCAATATTTAAAACATTGCCATGAAGTGATCCCCTCAACCCGATTAGACCCAACCCACCATAGAAGTCAAGAACTTAGGGTGCTACAATGAACCATGACCTAGGTTCAATCATCCCAGATACGTGTGGTGCATAACCCGATTCACCAACTCCAGCAACCAGATTTAGAATTCAAACCAGTTAAAATATTAAAAAATATTTTTTTAAAAGAATAAACAACAAAACACGCAAGAAATTAAGCAAATAAAGTATGCGTACCTTATTGTAACATGATTGCCAAGGTTTTTTAACATACCTGATTTCAACTAGCATATTTGTTAAATTTGACTCTTGTAAAACCTCTGACTCCTATATTTAAGAACCGATTCTAAAGCATACCATGCACCCTAGCGTACCGTATGTAAAACCCCGTAAATTTCAAAATATTATTTTAAAATGATAAAATATGAGTTTTATCATGTTTGAAACTATTTTGGGATGAACTAGCATGTTTGAAATCGATTTGAGATCGAATACGTACATATATGTGAGTATCATGTACTGATATATCAAAACAATAAGTTGGATTTTCGTTCTGGTCGGTCGATCGATGGGAACGACCAGTCGACTGATGTATAGTTATCAGTCGACCGATTTTCACAACCAGTCGACCGATGAGCACGAATTCTGGGCTATAGTTTCGGATTGGTTTTTGGCCCAATTGTGTGTGTGTGTGTGTGTGTGTGTATATATATATATATATATATAGAGAGAGAGAGAGAGAGAGAGTGAGAGAGAGAGAGAAATATGGGTATGTTTGGTACCAAGCATAAAATTTGTGCTTGGTAGTGAGGTGGCACAATTCACTTTACTCATTCAAATGGGGAACCACATTCACATGGGTTGAGGAGTGCATAGGGATATGCAACCATTTGAATGAGTGAAAGAGATTATGCCATTGCCACCTTACTACTAAGCACAAATTTTTGTGCTTAGTACCAAGCATACCCATTTTTCTTATATATATATATATATATATATATACTAGTTTTTACACACGTGCAATGCACGTGATTTAATACCAT